CGAAGAAAAATATCTAAGGTCCTGCTTTTCCATACACTGACTGACATGTTCAGACTCAGTGATATTAGGTTTTTATCTTAGGTCTTCCAACTCCTTCCCATTCTCTACTCAGATCCACAAGCACTGAAAAAGCTTCACACCGGTTAGCCCTCTTCTTAATTTTTACTTCCTTAAATCTTCAGTTCTCATCTCTTGACAAAATCCATTCAAACAGGGTTCTCAAGTTAATGGTTAAACTTGTTGTTTGTAGTACCATTAATATAGGTCAAGCAGCACAATAGTTACAACTGCTGAGAGGGAAGGTACATAAAGACACAGTAAGCAGTTCAGGACCTTATTACAACACGTCTATCAAACGCAGGAGTACAAACAATGTGCCTGATTCATCAGAAAGATAACTTCTGCTGACAGTACACAGTGTTCCCTGGAGTCTCTTGCACATGGCTCAAAAATTAAAATTGGAAATGTAAACTACAGACACATTCTTACAAATACATTTCAGCACAGCGAGCAGTTCTATGCAAAGCAGCAGATACAGGCAGTGGGATGAATTCAGCTCTCATTTGCATCACTGAGCACCAAAGAAACTCGGTAGCAGCTATGACTTTATTCTGCATTTTCTCTCACATAACCAAGGGAAGAATTTGTCCCACAGGCCCAAGGACACACATTTTTTCACTGCAGGATGCACATGCATAATGCCTAGAAGAGGGATTACCTTATGCCTTATTCAAGAAAATTCAAAAAGACCTCTGTGCCTCAAAAAGTTAGTATTTCAGGAACAGACAGTAAGTATTTTTTCAAAGCTAATGGCACCCTAAAGCTTCACAACATGGATCATTTCTGCTCAGTGCCAGTCATTCACTGCCTGCAAGTTCAAATACATCATGTTCCAGTTTGGCTCCTGAGCTCATTAGCCAAGGTTCCCAAGCTCAAGTGAATTCCCAAATATGCTACTGGAGCCAAAGCTGAAAGAAGTCAGGCCTTAGGACTGCAAGAGCCTACTGCATGTGCCACAGTCACCCTTCTCTTTCCAATTACTTGCATCATGATGGCACACAGAAGCATGAAACAAGTCTGCAATGTGAAGCATGTCTCTCTCCAATCCCCAACATGACAGTGCTGCCTTTTGTGACCAAGCATTTTGAAAGCACAAATTGCATTTCAGATCGTTTGTCCTTCAAATTAAAATAGCTCTAATAGACTGAGGCAAATGAAATATAACTGGAAAGCTTCTTATGCATACGACCCACCAACTGTAATTCCAGGATGATCAGTTCAGCTGCTGTGAATCTAGGCTGAAGGGATGAAATTAAGCAGAATATTTTTCACACATAGCAAAACAAAGAACTTACACCACAAAACAGAACACACTGCAAATTATAGCATGTATAAGAACTGGGATTTTACAACTAGTAAAAGCTGAAGACTGTTTTCATCTGTCTCACTTATAATTTGTACTTCTGTATTATTTGTTATCTCTTATTTCACTGTGGTTTATGAACCTTGGACTAGATCTTCAGCAAGCAGGAATCAGCTCAATACTGACTTTAAAAAAAGCTCTCTTCAATTACAGTACCTGAAGTGATTAACTGACATTGCATGAGTCTTATAGACAGATTGGACATGTAATGACACCAGCTGACAGTGCCCTCTGGTATGAATTTTCTCAGATTAGTAGCATTCTGCAAAATCATAACTTGAAACACTGGTTGAAGCTCTCCTAAAGCATTCTAACCACCTTAAACACAGACAAGCCTGTATCGCTTTGTGCATTTTACACATTGCTATGTATGCCACATTTCTGGTACCTTCCAATATAATAAATCACGTCACACAATTAAAACACTTCTGAGACTGCAGATACAGTCCAGTGCACATTACTTATAGTACATAACAGTTCAATAGGCTACTGTCTTCTCATTGTATGTATATTGGAAAGGCAGCCCATCAAGACAGCTTGGATATGACTGTTCATGTTAAGACAAACACTGGCATGATAAAGGAATTTTTACACATCATATGGATATTTTTTCCTATTCTGTATTACAGATCTGTTCTAATGCTTTGTATGTTGCATTTTCCTTACCAGGATGAAACATGCTGCACTTAAGCACAGATGTACAGGAAATCCCACTACAGTATAGTTCCTCCCTATGAACAAGCTACATGTTTTTCTGCAGAGACTGCTTATATTAGCACTAACAGCATTGCCTCACACAACTGTTTTTCTGGAACATTAATAAAGATTTCATTTAATTCAGAGAAGGAGAAAGAACAAAGAAATTGAGAACTGTTCACAGCACGTGGAATAGGAAACATAGGAGGAGTCCACAGAACATGATGTAATTGCCTGCAAAAACACACGTGCCTCCTGCCTTCCTCCCAGAATGGATAATTCATGGTATGTACAGGCAGTTGGAGCAAGGCAGCTTCCTTAGGTACTCACAGGATTTCTGCCATGTCATTCAGGAAGCATGAGCCAAGTGGCTCTCTACTGATGTTCACACTGCTAAGATAAGAAGCAAAAGGCTTTGCCTCCTCACCACCACCTCTGTTTCACCCTAAGATGCTATCTGCAGAACTCAGCTAATGACAATTCAACCCATTTAAAATGAGGAAGTAACCAGGCACTTAAATCCAGCAGAAACTTACCTAACCAAACTAGCTCTATCAGCCCCTTTTTAAGAATGGCATTCGATTCTAGAAGTTTGTCTTTGTGACTCTTCGATAAGCATTAAGTCAGTACAATTCAGCATTCAGACATACTTGCATTTCATCTGCCAGAACAAAAACAATTCATCTTCTTTAGTCTGAAATGTCAATAGAAATACATTTACCAATAATGCTTCTGTAACTTATCATACCTTTGTAAAATATTGAGAAAATGCTTTGAAGACCTTTATGCCAGGATAAAAACACTGATATGCCACATGAAACCTAGCTCCTTGCTTGCAAGTCTGCGCACCCAGTTATGAAGCCGGTGGATGATTCTGGAAACATCTCTCATCATGAAGGAACATAGATATTAGCGGAGCTCAATCTGAAAGCAAGCTCACACTACACCTACTTGCTATTCTTCCTACCATCTCTAAGTTATGCAGTTCTTTCAAGGCATACTTTAAATGTGGTGAGCATTTCACAAAACTGTGAGTAGCAAACTCTCCTTCACAGCTCTTCAGGAGCTTGGTGGGACAACAGGGCCTACAGGTAGCTTCAAACTGAGAAGCCAACTCAGAGCTCTCCAGTGCACGCAGAAGTCTCATTTCACAGAGGTTTCATTTCAACATCAACATATATTTCCTAGTCATCTCAACTCAAAGGTGGCTTGGCAGAATCACAGACAGAACTGAGAAAACTGCAGGAAGCTTCAATTTCGAGCAGGAAGAACATACTGAAGTGGGATCACAACTACTTCTAGAGTAATCAAGGTCTTATCGGCAGTTACCTCTCATGAATGACATATTAACCTGGCTGCCTGATCTAAAGCTTTTCTCAACCATCTTCTGCAATAGAATAAGGATTAGATTCTTATGGGATTTGAAGCTATTATAAAGTCCCAGAAACAGAGCTTTTTCATTGTTTTTGCTGTAAGAAACAGAATATGGTTTCTGTAAGTGGCAGCCACTGAGTTCGTAGTTTCATGAATTGTTCTGCTCAGAGAAACCTCCCTACAAAGCAGCCTTTCCAAGCTCAGCTGCCTTCACAGCAAAGCGGAAATGGGTCCCAATAGCCCCCAGCATCAGAGGAACATGGTAACTGAAGGAATCTTGCGGGTTGCAACCTTCCAGCACAACAAAAGTATGCGGATCCAACTCCAACTGTGGCAAAAAACACCATCAAGGAAGACAGGACACTGCGAGCTCTAAGGTTAAAAGCAATCCTTAGTCTTCCAAAGACAATGCAAAAAATGCAGTTTAGGTTACTAGTGCTGCCCACTGTGTTAGCATTGTACGTGTAGATTATTTACCAAATCTCATTTTGCTAGAAAAGCAGCAATTTCAGCTACAGAAGCAGCGCTGTTACTCCAAGCAGTACTAAAGCCTAACTTGAGAAAAAGCTGAACTTCCTCAAGAACTGCATTTCAGAAGGTGCTCAGTGTGGGGCCAAGGTAAGAGAGGACTTGGGAAGCAGCAGCAAGAGAAATTCTGTCCACAGCAGAAGACAGCAGCAGACCAGACAAAAAGAGAGAAATGGTATCTGAAGTCAAAAGGGAGATGGGGGAATAAGATCAAATAGTAACAGAACAAAGAAGCAAGATGTAAATGTCAGTGTTCGATGTAACAAAATGTGCTTTTACTCATATTGTGGAAACATTTTGAGCTTGATTTCATTTGGATTCTGCTAGTTTCTTAAGCTATAGGAGAAGTGACACTGAAAGGCCTAACTTCATGCCAAAATCCTACTGTCTATGCAAAATTACTTTTTAAACTTCAAAATGAAGACTCCCCTCCTGCCATTCCCAGGGTTTTATACAACCACAATGTCAATGACTAAACTAAAGCAGCTCACTCTGGGATAAGTTAGGACTCTGGTTAATTGTCTTCAATAAAAATGACAAAGCTGGTTTCCATCTCCACCAGCCCAAGTCAGTCCCCCTCTGCCTTCACCTGAATGCTGATCTTTGAGTCAGAAAGAACTTCCACCCCATTCCATCCCTCTTCTGTCATTCACTGTTTGTCATTTGTCTCAGTGTGCTTTGGGTAAATAATTGATCTAATGCATTTATTTATTTTAAGCTTAACAGACATTTGTTTCAAGACTGAAATTCATTGTAAAATTGTCTATTTCACAGATGGTGAAGTTTTGATACCTTAACGACAGAATTTTATACAGCTTCTTGACACATAGGAGAGGGACACAGGAAAGAAAAGATGATGCTTCTTCTGCTGCAAAATAGCACCGCATACACTGGCAAACCCCACCTCACTAACTGATCACAACTTTCCACACCGTTAATATGAAGTGAAAAAAATCAATTGTTATTGTTCAGTCATTACCTCCCATGAACTGATGTACAAGTGTCCAACATGGCAGTGAGTTAATGGTAACCCAAAGCAGTTGCTGGTCAGCAGAAACAGGCTTCAGCCACACTTTGTACGTGCCCCAGCTCTCTCCAGCCTCTCATCAGGAGAAGTCCTCTGCCTGCTGCAGGTGCAAATTAAGTAATGAGAAGGGCACCTGCCATATTGCAATCACCTGCTGCAAGTTCTTCACAAGCAAGGTCATATGAAGGTCAGTCAGATTCTGCACAGATACCACAGAAGAAACAGAGCATGTTCTTTTTAATTGCCATTCATTGTAGCCTCTGTGAGCAAAATTGCTTCTCCCATAATGAAATAAAAAAGCCAAAATTACACATCAAAACTCAAAATCCTGTGATACCATGTAAATGCTACCTGAGAAAGATCCACGTTCCAATCGAAGAGCCTTTATATTTCAAGAGAAAGGCACATACAAGTCCCACCAAATCCATGTGCTTCATTACAGAACATTAGAGCTCACTCCATGAAGGAATAAAGAGAACTTCTTTGAAAAAAGTGTAGAGAGAAGAGCAGAATGTGGAAAAATGAGCACAATTACTGCTGGCTTTACTCACAAGGGAAATCTCAGTAAACTAAACAAAGAGTAGCAAAAGCCTCTCTGCTGCATAGAAGTAAAATTAATCTTGCAAAATGAAGACCAGTAACACCAATACAAGAACACTAACAAAAAAATCCAGACATTCAGAAAATGTATGTTTACCTAACATACAGGACTTGCTTCACTGACTTCAGCACAGCCCTTAACTCAGGACTTTGCTCTGAGTATTTTTTGTTTTCTAAACCAGATCTTCTTGTGGGCTTTGAAGAAAAGAAACAGTAGAGTAGACATTCCTTGAGTAGAGTTAAGTTTTTCAACTGGTGAGTCTTAAATGAACTGAAAGCAGTAACTTCTTGGCACAAAGACTGTGAGAGAGCAGCAAAGGCCAACTGTACCTTAAAAGGAAACAAACTAGCAGCCAACAGCAAACGTAACACAAAATGGGTAGGAACCTTACCACGAGCACCGTCCCACAGCGCAGGAGCTGGTTGAGCTGAGCAGCAGCGAGTCACCAACAGTCATCAGGAAGACTACAAGAGATATACAGTCAAACCAGAAAACTCAAAGAACAATGCACGATCAGACCCACATTCAGCACAGCTCAAAGAAACAGCTGAGGCTCCACCCAAGAGTTTATATGGCCCCACAGCCATGTGGGTAGGAGCACAGGTGAGGCCAGTCACGACTCAGGGGAACCCAGGTGAAGTCATTAAGGCCTGCTGGTCTCTAATGAAAGCTTCTTTTTAAATTATTCTTCCACTACTACTCTACTAAATTTTTCTCCCTGCATTTATCTATTTGTTTTATGGGGCTTTCTAGAGCTCACCGTTAGGTATCTAACTCAGTTGTGCACACCATTGTCTGCACCACAGAAAATTGCTTCAGTCTAGTGGGAGGATAGGCAGTGGTGAACAGAAGAAAGTATAGTGGTGCTAGCAAGAGATTGATGGGAATTTACAGCTATTAAGGGAGAGAGCTGAAGTCCCCGAAGCCTCAGTTTGAGATGCAGGACTTGGTCTGAGCACTATGCAAAGAGGAGGGCAGAACAGCTCCACGCACATCACAGCAGATGTGCCAGTGGTCTGACCTAAGGCTGTTCTCTGTCAGCTGGGGCTCCTCAGAAATCCTACAGGTTCCTGCTCTTCCCAGAAATACAGACAACCCAATTCCAGAGTCATCCCTATGTCATATTGTCATCCAAGCATTTAAAATGAAATGAGGATAAGGTCTGACAAACTCTGGGCACGCTGTATAAAAAGATATAAAAATATTAATTAATATGTTATACTAATCTATTATTCATGTGGCTGCACTGGGGAGATACGCTCTTGAAGGAATTAAGCATTTCTCAGATCTTAAGTCTATTTGTTCTGTTTTTTAAGAACTGCGATGTTTATCGAGAGTGGTGCCTACATGACTCAGAAGACAATGAAAAAGCTGTGTTTCTTCTCTGCCACACGTGCTTGTGAAATACATCTGCTGGACAGAATAGATACGGTGTTTTACCATGAAGCTTACATCTGAAGAAGTTGCGGGTGTCCAGATTTCATCATATGCCTCCAGAAAACAACTACCTTAAATTTTAAATTGTCAAGATAAAGACTAGTGCACTGTTTAATTATTACTGCCATAAAGCAGAGCAATATTTACCTGCCTATAACAGAGCTTAGGAAAATCCACTTATCTCTCTTGCCAGGTGCCACATTTCTCACAGTTATTAATAAAATGATCAGAAATCATTATTTCTGAATGGCCTTTGCCCCACTTTTCTCTGCTGTCCAGTACGCTTCCCAACAAAAGCTGTCTTTGAAATTGGGACAAATTTTGCACTTGTTTGTTGGGAAGACAGAAAGAAGCAAAAGCTCTCATCTGCACCGGACCCAAGCCATCGCACCAGCAGTAAGCCTCAATCCCTCCTGCCTCCTGTGGCAGTTAAGCCAATGCAGTGGGCATTACATGCCACTCCTCTGTCCCCCAGCTCCCAGGCAGCCCTCGTTCCTGGTTCTGCTAGGAGAGCCTCCCAGCAGGACACAAAGTGCCATGCTGAGCCACTTGCTTTTGCTGCCTTCCACTTTGCATTAGCAGCCAGCTCAGGCGCACCCACACAAGGCCGGGCAGCGGGAGGTGAAGCACATGTCTGGTGTCCCTCAGGGGGAGAGACTGGGAGAAACTCATCAGAGTATGTGGGGTGTTTCAGGATGCAGGGTCCTGAGGTGTAAGATTTACTGCATCCAGTCTGCCTCAAGTGAAGGTGCAGGGCCTTTTTTGCTTTTGGTTTTTGTGGGGGCTTGTTTTTTGCAGGGAGCAGAGGGCATAACTGTTCTCCCTGCACATATCTTGAAAAAACAGATAATCTAGCTACCAAATTCAAAAGATTTTATGTGCCACTTAACATTCACTTTAGGACTCTTTCTCCTCTCCTCCCTCCAAGGGAACATATTCCTAATATTTTATTAATAATGCTCTAAGGAGAAGCTGCTTTCTGCTCCTGAGTGCTGTGTACGATGATGGATGAGTTCACAACACCTGTTACTGGTACATACGTGGAAGTAATTTCCCCTTGCCTGTTCCACAGAAATCTGTTCTTTTCTCACATAGTCAAATACCCTGTTCCTATTTCTAGTAAATAGCTGCTAGATAAGCTTTGAAAAGGTTTTGTAATTAATTAATATCTTTTTTCTTTGTATGCCAATAAGTTAGATTATTGAAGGAAAGTATTTGTGCAAGAAATTAGAATTGAAGCTGCTTACATAGATATAGATAGACAGACAGGCATAAAACTTGCCTAGAAAAGGCTTGCCAAGAAGGTTGATTTTCTCCAGTGCAGAAAGTTAGCATGAAATCGTGCCCCACCACAGCTTACCCCAGCTCTGCTTTGGTATTCAGTTAAGACCAAAGGAGGACTTCAGTAATCCACAGCTGCACAGAGCTGAGTTTTCTTCCTAAGCACTCCTGAAGGCTCCCCTATTGCTCATTTAACCTTGGGAGTATTTCCAGACATCTGTATTTACCTACTCCTCTGGATATTCACTTATCAGCAGAAATATTCACCTAAAAAAAAAACCAAAACTTTTTCTAAGTAATTATCAGGGAAAAATCACAAGAAGCAATTTTATAATTTCTACAGTTCACCTTTCCTCTTCAAATATGGTTTCTGTTCAATTACGTTCATCCAGTCAGAGAAGATAAACTTATAAGAGATGAAAATATTCCAAAAGATTAAAGTAGTCATGGGAAAAGATTTGCATTGTTAACACCTGTGAAGAACTCACCAAGCTTCTGTCCAACACAGCTGAATTTGAGTATGCTGAAAATCACAAGTAAGGAGTAGCACACAGTGACATGAATTTTTAACATCATTACAATTGATTACTGAGGTGATAAGCATGACGTGTTTTTATATACTGGGCTGCTCCAAAAGTAATGCCTCCAATTTTACTGTATCAGTCGGCAGTGTCAGAGGTGTATGTTGGCTCCCACCAGCATTCCATTGCATTTTCTGGCTGCATGACAAATGGCAGTAGAAGAGCAGTCTGACAAAATGGTATCTGACATGCAGGAAAAATGGCATCCACTGCCATTCATTGATGCTTGCTGAATACTTATGGAGACCAAACTGTGGATGCAGCAAAATGAGGCAACGGATGGTGCATTTCGGCACTCTCCATTGCCAAAATGCTGGGTCACCTCCACAGACTGTTGTAAATGTGACATGCAGGCTCTTGTTCCTCCCTGGAGAAAATGCGCAGTTAATATTGGTGACTATGCTGAAAAATTATTTTTTGTAGCTGAGGATTTTCTCTATGCATAGTGTTATTATGCTATTTGTCCCTACTGTAGTTTTGATGGAAAAAAACAGGAGACATTACTTTCAGAGTGGCCTACAAGTATGCATGGATACATAAGAAAATAAGCAAGACAATTAACAGTGCAGTCACACCACATGACCAAACAGTAACTGAGAATGAGCTGCTGGAAATAATCTCGTAAATTAGAACTGTTACATTTCAGTACCAGAATTGTTTCACTGATAACCCCAAAAGATGACCAACAGGTATATCAGATTTTCTTAATTTCTTCCACAGAAAACTGTATTTTCAATTCCAGTTTTGCACATGCAAAATAATACAAAGTTCACGATTGTGGAGAAAATACAGTGAAGCATGCAAAAAGAATTTTAAACATCTGTGGTAGGCCAGGAGGAACGGCAGAATGACTGAAATGAAACTTTTACAGAGTGATTTCCAGATAAAGGAATAAGGCTTGTAAATGTCCTCCCACTTAAACAAAGCTGCAGTTGAAACCAACTGGCCTACTCTCAGGACCAGGTAACAGCTCACACCTGGTGGGCACCATGCTGGGCTCAATGCCACATTTGCCCTGGACTTTCAGTTATATGAGGGTTCTGTCCCTCACTTGATGACTGTGCCAGACGTTTCGTTTTGCTGAGATGTACCTCTAGGGAGCTCTGTGATACTTTGAGATGGCACAGAAAGATAAAGAGGAACATACTGTATTCAGAAAAGCAACATCCAAACTACTAAGAGAAAATGCCCGACCTCACCAAATTTACACCAACGTGGACAAGGCGGGGTTTGAGACTCTTGGAAGAGGTCACTGTTCATTGGTCTAGCTGTTTCCAGAGCTTCTTAACATCCTCACATGCCCAGATGAAATGCTATGAAAGAAAAATGTCCACAAGAGGAGAAACTCCTAATTCCATTTGTGTGATAAATGGTTGCAAAATAATTTGATGTACAAGAGTCAAAGGAGGGATCGTTGCCAAGCTTTTGAAATCAGGTGCCTTTTCTTTGAGGGACATTTGATTGAGGGACAAACAAGGGACAATTTCATCATACAAGAATGGGCAAAATAAAGACAGTAAACAGTCTTCAATTAATTATCTTTATCTTCCTGAAAGACCTGCTAAATATACAGAGATGCCAGATCATGGACTGATACAGATAGTCCTGGAGTTCTCCTATGAGTTTATTTTTTCCCCTTTGGACTCAGTAATAAAGAAAGGCAAAGAAAGTCTGTCTGGTCATGCACCTGGCACACATTCTTGTATCCATGGAGACAAAGTATCAGAAAGGAGAAAAAGAACATTTTTAAGTGACCCTGACATTTGATACTGATGCAAAAACAAGGAAAGGAATGACCTAGTTGGAAGCCAAAAGCATGAAGTTTCTTCATTTCCTATGATTTAGTATCTCTCTCCCTCACATAGGGCAGATTCTTTTATAGACACTCCAGCATACGGGCCAGTGGAGCTCCAGCAATGTCTCCAAATGGCACAGTAGAAAGTTTCAAGCCTTACATTCAGCTTTTCTCTTTTAGCTCCTGTCCTGGAAGACATGTAGGTTGCTTTATTATTATTATTACTATTATTTGATGGAATAAATGATTTGTTTGTATCTTTATGAACAGAACTTAAAAGCGATTTGATGATTAGATGAATTGGAATTGACAGAGAGACCAATTTGTTAGGTTTGTATTAAAACTGTGGTAAAAACTGGCTTCTAGCTTCCATACAATTTAATCAGATAAAAAATATCAGTGACTTTGTAAAAACACCCATAGAGTCTGTTTAACAGACTTACAAATTATTTTTTC